TATTTACTATTATTATATTTTATATTATTATTATTATTATTATTATTATTATTATTATTATTATTATTATTATTATTATTATTATTATTATATTATTATATTATTATTATATTATTTATTATTGTTGTTATTGTTGTTGTTGTTATTAATATCATTATTGTAATCATTATTGTTATTCCGTTTATCATTATCATTAGTAGCAGTATCATCATGATATTAATAATAGTAATTATAATGATGATAGCAATAATGGAAATAATGATAATAATAATAATGATAAAATAATAATGATAATAATAATAGTAACATTAATGATAATGATAATAATAAAGATAGTAATAATAATGATAATGATACTACTACACTACTACTACTAATGATGATAATAATGATACTACTAATAATAATGATGATAATAACAATAATTATAATAATGATGATAATGATAATAATGATAACAATAACAATAATAATGATAATGATAATAATAACAATAACAACATAAAATATAATAATAATGATGATAATGATAACAATAATAACAATGATAATAATAATGATGATGCTGATAATGATAATAACAGTAATAACAAGGATAATAACAAGGATAATGATAATGATGATGATGTTGATGATGATGATGATGATAATAATGATAATAATAATGATAATGATAATAATAATAATAATAATAATAATAATAATAATAATAATAATAATAATAATAATAATAATAATAATAAATAATGATAATAATAATGATAATGATGATAATGATAATGATTATTTATGATAAAAATGGTAATAACAAGGCTAATGATAGTAATGATATTAATGATAATAATGATAATAATGAAATGATAATAATGATAACAATAAAATAATGATACTACTACTACTAAACTATTACTAATAATAATAATGGCAATAATAATGATAATAATAAATAATGATAATAGTAATAATAATAATAATAATAATAATTAATAATAATAATAATAAATAAATAATAATAATAATAATAATAATAATAATAATAATAATAATGATAATAACAATAATGATAATAATAATAATAATGATAATAACAATGATAATAACAATAGTAACTAATGATTATAATAATGATAATATAATAATAATAATGATAATAATAATGATATTAATAATAATGATAATTAATAATAAATAATAATAATAATAATAATAATAATAATAATAATAATAATAATTAATATAATAATAATAATAATAATATAATAACAATAATAATAATGATAATAATATAATGATAATAATAATAAAAATATGATAATAAGAATAAGAATAATATCAATAATAATAGTAGTAGTAATAATAATAATGATAACAATAATATCAATAATAATGATAACAATGGTACTAATAATGCTAATGCTAACGATACTGATGACAATAATGAAAATAATGATAATGATAATAATATCATTAATGGTAATGATAATGATATCATTAATAATAATGATAATGATTATAATGGTGATTGTAACAATAATAATGATGACACAAGTAATGCTGAGGATAAGGATATTAAGCAAATAAGTAACAATGACTATTGA